TAGATTTAGAAGCTTTGATCTGGAATTTGTGCTTAGAATAATAGTGAGGGTGTCAACACTCACTGTTACAGAGGAATAAATCGGAAAATGTCTCTAGCATCCACATGCAGTGAATTAAACACAAATCAGGAGGTTGTCCTGATTCTTCAAGCTTTGCTACATGGATACCTCACACATAAACTTGCAGGGTTCAGCTCCATTTGCAATTTCCCAGATAATGAGGCAGTCCACACTTGTATACAGCAAGATCCGCACAACATCAGAGAGGTACACATAAATCCTTGTGCCACGCAAGTGTCAGGTAATGGCTAATTATAACAATACAGAGTGTAACTATATTCCATTACAATGTTGGAAAATCACCCACCATCAACATCCTGGAGATTATTATTAACCAAAAATTAAACTGCACCAGTCACAAGCAGTGGCGGCTCCAGCAGGTCAGAGGCTAGGGTTTGGCAGTTCATCTCCTGACTTCCTCACACTCTGAGCTTCTCTGGTAGGTGGTTAAGTACTCTCTAATGCCAAGATGGGTTCAATTCCAAGAACACTCAAGAAGGACAAGAAACCAATCAAGTTGGCATGCTATCCTCTTACTTAAACATCAACTCTCTCCACTATTTGTGCAATGCAGACTCAGGTATAATATCTCTGTCATACACAGTATCAGGTTTATTTCAGTTTCTGTTGTGTCAATATCACAGACTTATTCTGCCAACTTTTTTTTATATGTGATAATGGCTAGATACTAGGTTTCTGTTGTGTCGATTGAGAGAGAGGTATTGGTCAGGAAACCAGGAATAACTTCCCTGATCCTCTTCAAATGGGGCTGTGTGATTTTTTTACATCCACCTGAATAGTCTAACATCCTTTCTGAAAGACAGTACCTTTGCCAGTGCAGCATTTCCTCATTACCCCGCTGGAGTGTCAGTCTTGGTTTTTATGCATTCAAGCACTGGGAGTGGGCCTTGAACCCAGGATCAAGTAGTTCAGAGGCGACGGTGCTACTAACAGAGACAGAGCTGACACTCCAGTAGCATTTTCCAAACCCGTGAAAGTTCCACCATTACAAGGGGCAAGGGCTGCAGCTGCATGGTAACACCAGAAACTTCAAGGTTACCTCCAAGTCACATACCGTGTTGGCATGGAAATACATCACTGTTCTTTCCACTGTTGTTGGCTTATGTTTGAGGAACTGCTCACCTAATAGCACACTGCAACTGCAGCTGTTCAAGGAATACACCCACCATCACATTTGCAAGGGAAAATAGAATTTATCCAATAAATAGTTTTCCCAAGACTGAGTTCTTAAAATCCATGAGAAATGATCAGTTCTACTCACTTTAACTGGTATAAATTATTGGTGCCTCGGTGATCAATATCATGACAAAATGCTGCCGTAATCATGGCGAAAGCTTCGAGATCTGTGTAGTACTTCTTTATTTTACCTGTCTGCAGAATGGATTCGAAAGTTTAAAAAATACAATGAACTCTAAATAAAACTAATATCATTTTTAATAGTTGTTTGTTGAAATGACCACCCTGATCCATTTGAACTACTGTATCGTACCATGAGAAGTGTAAACATGGTTTGTCCCACATTGAATCCATGACGCCAATTATGGTAAGTAATATCACGGTAACCTTTTCTGACAGTGTACATCCATCGGGTCAATACCTGTTGCAAAACATAGAGCATTTCTAATTAAGATGTTCGGTGATATAAAAAGACAAGTGGTCTAGAATTTCAGGCACACCATTTCTGGCTGCACAGTGAGGGAATCTGAATTGTGAGGTTCAAAGCACCTCCAGTACTAGTCTTTGCTCCCCTTGCCATTGAGCTGGTGAGCTGCAGAGAGGAACAGGCTGTAGTTATTGTCCTTTAGCTTCCATTAAGAGATCTGCAGAAACAAAAACAGAAGCAAAGTACCAGTGGCAGCCTAGTCATCCCTTTGTCAATAACATCTAAAATGTGCAAGTGAGAAAACCACAATCATGATGGACATTTAATTCAGGATCTTGGCATCTATTGTATTTGAACAAACCTCTGGTTTTGAACCTGTATCCTGTAACAAACTCAAAACCCAGTTTTATCTGGATCTTAGAGTCCACTAGTGGACTGCAGACAACCTAAAATATGATGATTCCAGACACTGGGGCCTCAAAATCCAAATTAAGAGGCAAAAGTAAAAAGCAAATTAGCACTGGTCTTCCAAGTAACGAGTCACATGGACAGATACAACAAAATCTGGATCAGGAAGACTCACATCTGCTGGTATCTTGAACTTTATGACTGCATTTATTTCGAAGAAGCACCGAATTCCACACTTGATTAGGTCAAATTCTGAAACATCCAAATCACTGAAGTGGAATTCATAGAGCTCAACATCACTTGGGTCAGGTAGTTCTTCTTTCTGTCAGTAAAATTCAAGTTCTGGTGAGATGTTCAAGATGGTTAGCAATATGACAGCGAGGTTTTATACATGTAATTACAAATGCAACTTACCAAGATCTTTAACATATCTTTTTGTTCACAATCTGAAACGTCTTTGTCCAACTTCTCTTTTGTTTTCTGTTGAAAGGCACAATATTGTTGCAAAGATTTCCATTTACATTGTTGCTTTGTATTAATTCATGCGAATATTCCACTGCTGAACTCACCAAAATGGTCTGAAGTTCTTTGTCGGTGCACTTAGAATGATACATTAGCATCTCCGCAGCAATATTTTTCCTGCTTTCTAGTTTATTCATTTTGTCATAAGTGTCTGTGTTCAGGAGTGACCATCCCAGGAACTGTGTCAGAGTCTGAAGTAAACAAACAGCTACATTTAGTCAAGCAAGTTTAAAAATTTAAAACTGCATTCTCAACAGTTAATACCTTGGAATGTCCGATGGTGAGGCAAACAACAAGTTCTGTCAAAATTTTACATAGTTTTTCTGTCAGCAATCTCCAGCAGAATTTCCTTGCATCTTATGTAGCATATAGTGGGTCCCAAAGATCTGGCAGAAATCAGTGTTAACAATCAGGCAGGGTGTCCAACTCTGAGCGAACAAAACTAAAAGGATCATGTTGCCATTGTCAATTAATGACAAGAATTTGGGAGTGGGGGTGCTGGCAGGATGGTGGGAACTGAGGGAGCAAAGTAAAAAGAATTCAACGCCTGCAAAAGCCTAATGCCCAGCTACGTGGCCCACATGAGTGTGGAAACGGCAGCTCAGACCCCACATATTAGACATTCCCAAACGTAAACCACCAGCTTCCCGAGTGTGAGGCATTTTTAAACACTCAACCACTAGAGAGAGAGGAAACACATCACTGTTGCTGGGTCAAAATCCGGGAACTCCCTAACAGCGCTGTGGGTCAGCCTACAGCACACAGACTGCAGAGGTTCAAGAAAGCAGCTCATCACCACCTTCTCAAGGGCAACTAGGGATGGGCAATAAATGCTGGCCAGCTAGTAACACTCCTGCCCCAAGAGTGAACAGCAAAAGGTTTTTCAAAGGTGGTCCTTCTCATTCAACATCTGACAATATTTAAATCAGGCAATTTGTTTTATTTTATCCATACTACACTAGTCATGAACCTACATGGTAACTGTTAATCAGAGGCCAATGTTATGGTACAGAACATGAAACTGACCACCCCAACTATTCACAATGACCCCATCCTGAACAAGCAGCTTGAACTCTCCTTACCAAAGCCCAAAAACCTCCCTATCCAACTGGCAGCTCCCCCCACCCCACCTTCACTTACCTAACAAACTTACCTTCCCCTAGTGGTTTATCAAAGAGGCTTCAAGACCTTTAAACTGTGTCTACTTATTGGAATATAGCAGTTATCATCACAAACAAAAGATGTATTCTGCAAAAATTCCAGCGTGATTTGATGGACCTTCTTTTGAGATGGATCCATCTCAAAATTAGCCCCACAAAATCACAGGAAGTCAAGAAGGTAACATTTTGTCCGATCTGGGTTGGAAATTGGGATTCCACCCTGGATCTGAAGACTTGAGACTGTTTTTGAAGTTTTTGGTTTTACACATCCTAATGTTACTAGCGGCTTCATTGCTTCCATGCAGTGTATTATGGGTGAATAGTCACACAAGTGCCAAAGCCTGGGATTGGGAGGGGCAGGGGGATTAGTGGAAGCCATATCTTGATGTGTGGGTGTAGCATGAGGCCCTAAAGGAGGTTTTTTGGGGGCATGAGGTAGCACAGCTGCATGGAGGGTGAGACAGAGAAAATTAGAGGACCATTCTGTTTTTACTCCAAATGGGATGAAGCCAAGGCAGGCATTTCAAAATACAGTCAACATTTACACACCAGCAGCTATTCCACTACCTCCAAACTTTTTCTGGGCTGATGGACTTGATCTATATTGGCACCCACACATGTATTTAAATGCACATGTGTGTGCATGTACGTCCTACCTCACCCACAAATAATTTAGATCTTCTGACTGCTAATTTCCAAAAGAAGGTCCCATTTTCAAAAAACTGTCATGTTGCTGCAGGCTCATGTTTCCACTGCCTTCCTCACCCACCAACACTTTATCAGGAGCTTGGGATATGTGGAGTCTGGGCAAAATGTGGGCCAAACTCAGATGAGAAGTTCAATGAAACCCTCTCATCATCAAAAATATCACACTCCATCTTTTACACTTTCCACAGGCAGCACATTGCCAACTGACAGTGATTTATGACTTTACCAAACTCACTCGATAAATTAGCAATCAGGGAAACATGGCATAGAAATCAAAACACAAACCCAGCAGATTCAGCTCGCCACTTGTTCTAAGCAACCTCCATTCTACCAGAACCAAACAGCAACCCAAGGCATAATGCACAGACACCAGCCAGACTTACCCTTCCTCTAAGGGCATTGGCATCTCCTTCCTGGCACCTCTCTGGTGCACTAGCAGTGTACCCTGGAAACCCAGAACTGCCTAGCAGGGCATACCAGCAAAATCAGTACAGTATGGCTGCAATGGATACAGTTACCCAAAAGTGACAGACTCCCAACCCAGCTTGGACCAGACTGCCTAACAGAGTTGCTCACTTGTTGTCTTAGTGTGCATTCCCCTGGTGCCTACAAGCACATATGCCTTGCTTTGCCATGCCTTACAGTGCCAGTTGGCGCAGTCGCACAACTGGACAGATAGCTGGCCGTGCTGCTCAATAGTCCTCAGTGCTCTGCACCACCCTTTCCATCAGGACCTCAAGGTCCCTGTCAGAGGAAACATAGTGCCAACTATCCCTTTCTCAGCCACCTCTCTTTTCAATCTTCACAAGTGAGCAGTTTAGCTGCCAGTGCTCCTCCAGGTGCATAGTGAGCTTTCACAGGTGGCATGGATGCAAGGGATGCTGGTCTTTGGGAAGAAAGCCACTGAGTGGCCAGTTGTTCTGTCAATGTGGATGGTAAGGTGGGGTGGAATTTGGATATGATATACTTCATAGAGCAGAGATGGCAAATTTGGTAATTTGGCAAGAAAACATACTTAGGCTCATGGCAAGAACCCATTTAACAATTCAACGTAACTCACAATAAGCCAAAAGAATCCAAGATTCGGCCCTTAGATTTGTCAATGGGTGAGGTGCTCAATAATCCCCCTGGGCTACGTTGCTAGATCAGGTTTAGAAAATACAACATCTGACTATTGCCAACTGGGGCAGGGGGGTGGGGGTGTTGCGATGAGAAAATATGCTCCTGACTTCAACTAATAAAATGATCATCATGACATTCTGAACAATCTCAAATGTTACCTACTTCAGTGATCTGTTCATCATACTCATCAAATGGCTTCCCATCTTTCCTGTTGTAAAATGTAGCTATTCCCACTATCTCTTCTTTCTTATTCACAATCGGCAATGACAAGACATTTTTTATAATCCAGCCGGTTTCATCCACGGGTTCTTTCTATCAAAGAAAACCAGGTGAGAATTAACAAATGGTTGTGAAGATAGGAGTCCAAACAATAAAAATAGAGAAATAAGCATAGCGAAGATCTAATTAATAAACTCAGTATATACCATAAGTGTATAAGGGATCTAGTATAATAAACCATGAAAAAATAATCATGCGCACTAACATGCCCATCAGTTACTGTGTGCTAATTGGCTGCCAGTGAAAGTTAGTTACTTGTGCGGTAGAAATATTAACTTAATTCACATTTATTTTAAAGTGAAGAAAATGCTGTAATAAAGAAAACAGTAAATGTTGAAATGTTTACTACAATTTCAATTTCACTTTCATTATTTCGATGAAGCTAATGATAAGTTCAGTACTGGCATAGAATCATACACAATGATATGGGGATTCATCTTTTTTTAAATTTGATTGTGTCAATGTTCCCAACATAATATAACATAAAGTATATACCTGTTTATTGTTCTAAACCAAATATTACTTCAGAATTAGACTGTTTTACATTCAATCATGATGCAGCAAAAATAATTAGAACACTAAATATGGGAGGAACAGGTTTATTGTGTCCATTTCTTCCAATATCTCATGTTTGAGTCTGCACAAAATAGAACATGATCTTCTCAGGAATTAAGACCCAGAGAAAGTTTCTTCCTGATTCCCAAAAATACATCCAGTTGCTATACACAACCACGTGTAATCGTATTGAAAATATGATATTCCCATTAGGATTACATTCAAAATCTATCTCATCGTAAATCAACTATGCATTCAAATCCAATGTTTAGTGCGTAATTGACAGCACTAACTATTAATGATAGAAAATTAAAGGGCATGGAAAGGCGTATTCAATATTTCTGGTCGAAATGGGACTGCTTAATTTTGTACTTAGGACATTGATTTAACTTAGGCTGATTGTAAAACTAATTTATCTATGTCCATTTTATCCATTATTCTCATCAATTTGAAGATTTATACCACCTTTTCTCTCAATGTACTTCTTCCTATAATTAAATAAATTCAGTACCTCCACAGAGTTTGATTTGTGTAATGCATGAAAGGAATTGTATTTGAATGTTCTATGCTTTCCTGCTAAAAGCCTGAAACAAGTCTTTGAGCTGAAAACAACTTAGTAAGCAAAAGAATGCAAATTTTGATTGAATTCAAGCATTCACTTATTTGTTGTGACAAATGTAAACTATTTTTGCGGGCTTTGATGAATTGATAACACACTTTTCTTTGTGTTCAAAGATTATGAGTTGAAGCTCCACTTCCAGCTTGAACATATAACCTAAACTAGCATACCAATGATGAACTACTACACTGTCAAAGTGCCATCCTTCCGTGAGCAGTTAAAATTCAGGTCCGCCTGATGATTAGAATAAATGTAAAAAATTCCAAGGCATGATCAATTTAACAGCAGAGAATTGTTCCACTATTCCGGCTGATACACCTATTTCAACCTACATCAGAACATTACTACTCAAGCATCGACCTCCTGATTGATCACTTGTGTGTTTCCCAGGATTCGATGTTTTAAATATCAGACAGAGCAGGCACTGTACTGTTTCTTTGTTTTGATTAGTCTGGCATAATGGCTATTTGCATGAGTATACATAAATTCCATTACAGCTCAAAGTAATTCACTATATGTGGAACTCTTGGACCCATTACTGTGAGACAAACAAGATCTTAAAATGGGATCTTTTTGATCATTTGATTCAATTTCTTTAAACAAACTGACATTGATTTAAATAACAGCTGTGTAAAACACATAGAACAAATATATTCCTGCACTTACTTGAAAAGTGAAGTATTCATCAGCTGGTGCATTCATCATGTTGCAGATCTGCCAAAATTCAGATTAATGACAATTAGACAATGGTTCATATGATACTGAATAAAAGATACCACATGCATTTTTGTTCCAAATTAATATCTTGAAGTCACATTTTCTAAAACCACAAACATTTTTGATAAATTTACCAATCTCTTTCTGAACCTCAGTGGAAAATATAATTGTATCAAAGAGCAGGGAAATTGTGACAATCCTTCCCTCCTGCCCTCAAACAAAAAAGGAGACAGGGATAAGTCAGGAGATGAAGGGCTGATTGGTCTCACTTCGGTTGCTAGTAAGTGATTATTCATTAACACAGGATGAAATTAATTCTTCCTTTCCAAATGCTTGCTCATCTATCAATTCAAATTTCTAAAAGGCAGGCCATGCCACCAAATAGAGTCATAGAGTCATTCAGCACTGAAACAGACTCTTTGGTCCAACCAGTCCACGCTGAACATAATCCCAAACTAAACATGTCCCACCTGCCTGCTCCTGGCCCATATCCATCCAAACCTTTCCCATTCATGTACTTATCCAAATGTCTTTTAAGCATTGTAATTATACCCACATCCACCACTTTCTCAGGAAGTTTATTCCACATGCAAACCACCCTCTCTGTAAAGTTAACTGAAGAAATAACACAGGATAAAGGCATACAGTAATGTGTTCTATTTGGATTTTGACCAAATATCCATGAGTAACCACCTGAGAGACTTAGAACAAAAATGAATTCATCCAGCAATAGCTACATGGCTAAAGAAAGCATTGATGGAAATTAAATAAAGAGTACAGATAAAAGTGTTTTTAGACAGAAAATATGTAGGGGGTGCTATATTGTGATATACGGAGACCAATCTTATGCACAAACGAGATCCGGATGTAGAAATTGAAGGGACATCTTTGCTGTAAGTGGATCTAATCTTCTCCTATGTATGAAGGTGAAGAAATAAATATTGTTTGCTTTGAACTCCAAAAACAGCATATTGCTCTTGTACAAAAAGTAAAAGAATCGGTCACTGGACCTGAAATGTTCATTTTGTTTTCTCTCCACAGATGCTGCCAGACCTGCTGAGTTTTTCCAACATATTCTGGTTTTGTTTCTAATACTCTTATGTTGGAGTATAGCTCTGGGCAGAAGCTGAATGAAATCCATTGTGCAAAAGAGCACAAACTACAGCATCCATTTATAATTTTTGTTCTGTATCAGCTGTACCTAGGGGGTTTTTGAAAGACATTGGAACTTAGTTTTGAACTATAGGCACTGAGCACGTGCACACTAGGACATGTGCAAAGATCATAGAGACGCAATGCCTTTGCTACTGTTGCGGCCTTTAGAGAAAGAAAGTTTACAGCCTGAGCTGTTTTCAGGTCAAATAATGGCTGGAAAGAAAAACTTCTGATTCACTGCAACCTACACAGTCCCTCCTTTACACTTCTAATCTGGGTTAGAGGAAATAAAGTGGACTTTTTCTTCCAGTTAGCTGAGGACCGCTATTAGTGGGTTTACAGGCAACAAATTACCGTGTAAGCTTCATCTTACCAATGGAAAAGATAACACAGAGTGGGTTTGTTGGATATTTTTACATTTGATTGTGGTGATATCCAATCAAGACTCAAACTAACTACATTTAAACTGAGTAGTCAACCTTTGTTTTGAAATCAAAGGAGCGCTATTTTACGTACAATACTTTATGGATGGTTGTTCCTGTGATAGGGCGATACATTGTAAATCCAAGTGTCCTCTGCCTGAAAGTGGCGCATGTGGATTCATTCTGGAATTATCCAGAAGTTAGAAACTCATTCTCAGCTTTGCAATCACAACAACATATCAAATTCAAGTGAACATTTCTTCACACAGAAATAAGGAAAAAATAAATCAGATAATTAATTTCCTGAAATCTTGAAGCTAGCAAGAGGAAGTTAGAAACCAGATCAAAGGAAATAGTTTAGCTCGGACAAAAAAAAATGGAAGAAAATACTAAAATATCTTACAAAGAAAATAATACAAATTGTAAAGTGATGTTTACCAAATGTTTGATGACACCAGGAATAAGACCTATTCCCAATTATCTTTTCAGACTGGCCAATATGGATTTTAGTTTTGCTTTCACTAGCTGTTGCGATTTGAAAGCTGCAATACATCTCTCCCATCTACAGCAAAATACTTGAGCTCTCTCCCTCTCACAGAGTTTTCTCTTGATTTTTTTTCTTCTATCTGGAGAATTGCATGTGAGAAAATCTATTTTACTGAATTTGCCTTTGCCAAGGATGTGTTTATGGGTTGTTACCATATTGGAACAGCTGCTGTTCAGGAATTAAATAATGTATTATTCTGTTACGTTTTCCAATAGAGTTAATTTATTCCAATTCTTCTTTCTTTTATTGTATTTTTAACTATAATGTATAAATAAAGCGTGTTTGGTTTTAAGCCTGGTAGTTTGACCAATCGAATTGCATCTGGAACGCAATGCTAACACTTACATTTAAAAAAAGAAAATGTTAGGGTCTAGGCTCGACATGTTTTGAGGGGGTTTGGTCTGGTCCATAACAACACCTGCCCACACTGTAAGGCTCTATGATTCTAACCAGGGAGGATAAACATGGGTTAAAAAAGGGAAGAAAACACCATGTTTGTCAAGGGAAGGATATTGGAAGTTTTGAAAGATGAAAAAGAGTAACACTAGAAGACAGAAGGAATGAGAGAGTGGAAGGAATTTGTGGTGCCAAAAACACAACTGATAGCAATTAAGAGACATGCAGGCAGATAGAAAAATTAGCTCAACTGAGAGTATGAACCAATGATTTGAGTGACCTCTGGGGAGGGAGTTTAAGGTTTTGGATATAGCAAGTGTCACCACTGAATTAAGGGAGACCAGCCCGTCGTTGGGCAGAAGACTGGAGGTAAAGGAGGAGGGAGATTGAAGAAAGCCAAGTATTAGCTGTAGATAGTATTGGAATGATGGGCCAGGAAGGAGCACAGGGACTGTGCAGCACATAGGGAGGGGGGCAGCACATAGAAAGCCCATTTTAAATCAAGACTGGGGGCTGCAATTGCAGAGAGTTCCAAAAAGAAAATGGTTCAAACTTACAATAGCAGTATGGCAAGCTAAGAGAAGGGAGGGTGGGCAGGTTGGAGAAGGAAGAGTCCACATCATAGAAAAGATGTCAGGATGATGGCTTTGGGGGATGACCTCCACAGCATAAATGAATATGAATGGGCTAAAAAATGTCAGCATAGTCCAACATGGCAAGAAGGTTAACTCACAGGAAATATTCTGGGACTTGGATCTCAACAACCTCCTGTGGTTGAGGCAATACCACATACGAATACATGGTTTGAATCAGATGTGAAAAAAAAACTTGCAGGGGTAGCAAGAGGTAGTGATAGTGGTGGGGCACATGATAAAGGGACAAATGGTATTAAACAGCTACATTACAGTGAGTGAGGTGAAGGAGAATGTTTACAGGAAAGTTTTACCTACGGTCTGCTGGGAGCAGGGAATACCACTAGCATCTGGGAAACCTGGACTTCCGGCTTTTCATTCCACAATGTGAAATTTTTGGCTCTGGCAGGTCCAAACCCAATGGTCAGCCTGATTGACAAGCAGGCGTTCCAGTCAGACAGGGAGCTATCCTAGAGGAGTTTACAGTCTGCGGCCCCTGGGTGGGAGGGGACATTAATCCTAAATGTAGGCTGCTCCTTAACCCAGTCCAGTTCCCAGTTCTAGGCATGGAGATGGGGTTTGTATGAGAGAGGAATTGGACAGAATTCCCAAGCAGGGCAACACCTGCTGCCCCACAAGCAGGGCCATGAAAGCTCCTGCCTCCCTTGTGGCTATCCACACTTCACGACAGTTACCATGTTTCCCGACACCCAGGAAAACCCATCAGCCACAGATAAACTCATAAGGCAGGTTAAAGCCAGTGCTTGCAGTTTTATTAACACGTGTCAAACAACATCCCGTTTGATGGGAGCAGATTGGCTGCCCAGATTGTGCCATCTCAGTAAAGCTGGGAATCAGCGAGCTAGATCTTGGTTCTCAAAATCTTTGGAATTTTTGTCTATGTAATCTATAGACCCACTCCCAACATTACCTGCACACCCATGTTAAACCACCTACCACCACCACGTTCAATCCTAGAATGTATTTTTCTCTGGAAAAATGTTACCACAAATGATGCATATAAAGCCAATTTATTTCTTTATTTAGTATGCTAAATATGCTATATTACTTTATGCATATGATTCTGGTTGTAAAATAGACTAAAATCTAAAGCACTCTTATGTTGTTGTTATTTTAATGCTGCTACATTATGAACTTTTTGCTGTCTTCCAGTTTTTAAATCATATTACAATGATAAATGTTCGTTTTGCAGAATAATGCAGGCCACCTCTACACATTGAGCTGAATATTGATTGTGGATGCCAATGGCTGCTGTGGTGAACATTAACCCATGGAGTGGTGATAGTAAAGGAAAGCAAATAATACCAACAAAGTGAATCATTGTCATTAAAATTAACTTACAAAGCCATTCACAGCAACGTAGGTTGGCAGTCCACTCACAAGGGACCAGTGATCCGCTGGAGGTGACCTACAAGTACAAAATGAATTAAAATGATGATTTCTTGTTATGATTTTGTCCCCGCTATTAAAAGACACTTTACTGATTTGCTAAATCCTGGTTATACTTACGGGATGACTTTGATTTCCTCTTTCCCAACCAACAAGTAGTCAATGATTTTATAAAAGTTGATTTCCTACATAGTTTGAGAGACAGTTGTTTGTTAGTGGTACATTAACACATGATTCGTTTTGGGGACTGAGCTTGAACTGGTGTGTGCATAAACTTACTCTGCCATCTGGGGTCTTCGGGCCTTTGTAAGGAGGTACCTCACCCATCTGGATTGGCCATTCATCAAAGAACTCCTAGGATTGCATTTCATAGGATTGTATTTGTTTAGTTAAACAATGTGTTATCGTCCATTTAATTGTGGCTGACATTTTTAAATAGCAAACTAAAAGAGAAAAGATGCATCATTGTAATTGTTACCTTTTGCTTAGTCATGTCCAGAAGAGCAACTGAATATCTTTCGACATTTAAATAAATGCGAACTGTGTATAGAGCTTTGTGAAACTGGCGCTCAATGTCTGTAAGTTCTTCAAATACCTTGTTGGCAGAGCACAGAAGGATCTATTGATGGGATACAAACAGACGTTTACAGAATCTGTGGGTACAAAGTATTTTGCCACCCTGAGTCTGATAATTATATTTTTCTTCTCTATATGCTTGTAAGAGATTTGGGCAAAGCTAGCATTTGTCATTTGTCCCCATTTGAGAAGGTGGTAGTGAGTTACTCTATTGAGTTGCTACAGTCCATGTGGTGTTGGTACAACCACAGTGCTCTTAGGAAGCGTTCGCACAGTAACTATAGATCCAGGTATCCTGAGTTTTATACAGGCATGGAAAACTCTTTTTAGTGAGGACATTAATCTTGTCTGTTGGGCATAAAGCATAGTCTAATGAACACTGGGGAAGCAAGAATATTTAGGAACATATTAACAGGAGTGTACCTATTCTCAAACTGTTCTGCCATTGTATTAAATGATAACTGATTTGCACCTCATTTCCATTTTTCTGCCTTCAATCCATATCCTCCGATAATCTTACCTAACAAAAGATTATGAATCTTAGTCATGTTTTTTTCAATTGGTCCAAAGTAATAGTTTTATCTTCTATTGAAAGGTGATGATGCTAGTCTCATTGCTATGCTCTCCATGATATATAATGTTTTACGATGTCTTTCCATCTCAGATACTTGGTTTGACAGCTTTTGGATCATTTATAGGTGACAGATTGGAGGTATCTAACTGGATGGGTCCAGCAAAGCAACTCATTCACCTGATATATTTCTCCAACTCTGGGTGTAACCTATTCATGCTGATAGGATTCAAAATTTTAATCGACTTGTTTATTGGGGAGCAGTCCTGTATTCTGTCATGTCTGCATCTCTATCATGATGAATGAGCCAGCCAGTGGGGTGCGGTGCAGGCTACAGTAACTGCAGTATAAAGAGTTTGCATGGAGTAAAAGACAATCTTGAATCTATTTGGTGGAAGATACAAGGAGCTTCCATAATAAATGTTAATTCATAGTGGTATCTGGATGCTCTATTGGATGCCAACTTTAGCCTGAACAGTCCTTTCAGACTACCCTGAGAAGCTGCAGAGAAACTTTCTTTTCTTTCTTCACTGAAAAAGTCCTAACATGATAAATTTGTAGTGTAATAAGATATTAGTGGATGGACAGCTGGTTTATGATGCAGAGTGACTGCAACACAAATTAAATTCCTGCACCAGCTGAAGTTACCATTAAAGTCCCACATTCTCAACCTTCCCCCTTACCTGAGGCATGGTGATCCTCAGGTTAAACCACCATCAGTCGTCTCTCTGATAAGACAGCAGCTCTGTGGTCCAGTACGACTGCAGTGCCTCTACCTTACTTTCATAAGATGTGTATCTAAATAGCTTTCCTTGGTGGTTCAGAACTCTCAAGACATTCGAGAGCAGAACTTCTTTCAGGCTGGGTAAAGATCCAAAATAATTTGAATTTGTGGCAGAAAAATAAAGTATTGTGTAGAAGGGATTCATTCAATATTGACATCGCACTGAGCTCCATCAGATGGGTCAACTTCATAATGAACATATAGGAACAGGTCTATGCCATTCAGCCCAGCTAGCCTGCTCTGCCAGTTAATATGTTCATGGCTCTCAAACACTCCAAAGTTTTTATCTCACCCTATCCCCAATTTCGCTCTGTGCCATTGGTGATCAGAAACCAATGAACCTCCACTTTAAAGGTACTCAAAGACTGAATCCTATGGAATATACAATTCCAAAGATTCACCATCCTTGAAGTAAAAAAAAAACCTCCTCAACTTGATCCTAAGTGGCATTCCCACTTATTTTTAAATTATGCCCCCTGTTCTAGCCTCCCCAACCAGGGAAAACAGCCTACCTTGGTCTATTCCTTTAAGTATTTTCTAAGTTTCAATGAGATCACCTCCTAAACTCTAGATAATACAGGCCCAGTTTGCCCAAACCCTCTTCATTGGACAGTCTGACCATCCCAGGAACAAGTCTGGTGAAGCTTCATTGTACTCCCTCTATAACAATAATATCTTTCCTCAGGTAAGGAGACCAGAGCTGCACACAGTACCCCAAGTGCAGTCTAACCAAACTTCCATACAAATAAGGAAGGTTTCACTATTCCTGCAATCTAATCCTTTTGCAATTAAGGTTAACTTTGCACTAGCTTTCTTAACAGCTTGCTGCACCTGTACTTTAGCCTTCAGTGACTAATTGACAGGAACACCTAAGTTCCTTCGTACATTTATGCTTTCCAACCTCTCAACATTTAAGAACTATCTCTTTGCCAAAGCCTCTGAATGATTAGAATTAAGCAGATGAGTAAACCTAACACGTCACACGGGTTTAGACAGCTGGCACATCAAAGCGAACAGTATCTCACAAGCTTTTCAATGTAATTCTTTTCATTATACTGAAGGTGGATTTGTCAAACAGCTGAGGAGATAACTCAGATTTGCTGTAAGGGTATTACCTGGAGTTGGGGTTTGAGAATGTGCTAAGGTACCCACTTTTCGTGCTTATACAAGTTGTGGCTAACACTGTGCCACCAATTGGTGAACTCACCATAACATGATATGGTGAGTATTTCTGCAGTTGTTATAATCATTACAAAAATGGACTCTCAATATTGAACTTCCATTTTAATACCCGAGATCTTTATTAACAAAAAAGGCTTTTAAAGAGGGCAAATTCTGGTCTAAAGTGGCCTCTATGATCACCTGACAACAGAGTGAGGCAAGTCTAGGGAGCACTTTGGAATACATAAAACTAACTGCATTAACATTACGACGTTAGCTAAAGACAATGGAGTTGAATAAATTTGCATATCCTGTTTAATTCACACTTGCGTGATAGATTCATGTATTAGGAGATGCTAGGTTAATTACAAATGAACTTACAAAATAGGAGCAAAAGCAGACCATTCAGCCCATCAACCCTGCCACACCAGTCAATAAGTTCTGAGGAAGGGTCACTCAATTCAAAATGTTAACTTTACAGATGCTACTAGACCTGCTGAGCTTTTCAGCAATTTCTGTTTTTGTTTCTGATCTACAGTATCTGTAGCTATTTTGGTTTTTAATAAGATGTTTGTGTTCTGCATCCCACAATCTCATCTCCTCCCACCTTCACTCCACCTTCACCCAGCACCCCCCATCCCAATAACCTTTGATTCTTCCTGAAGTTACCTGCAAAGTTTGGAAGGATATTGAAACAGACTTTGGAATATACAAATTCGCCTATAACTGCAGCTACTTTGATCAGCAAAGCAGAGAGTGAAAAAAAAAGAACTGATAGTAGCAAGGAGGCTGTGCAAGGCTTTCTTCTCTCCCTGTCTCTCTCCAGCTCAAAATCAATACCCCACGAGAAAGCTATTTGGGAATAACAACTATTCGCAAAGAACACAGACCTACAAACTTCACCGCTGCTGCAGAATATAGGTCAACAATTAAGTATTATTTTATTTAAAATCTCACACCCCAAAGACTCAAAGGACCCTTTAAAAAAAAACCTACATAGCCTACTCTTCCTGTCTGCATCAGACACTTTCTGTTTTGTAAGCTTATTACCTGTGTTTGTGTGTGTGTGATCTTGCATTATTATTATTTTTGAGGGAATTAAAATTTCTTCGTCTTTCACTCAAGAAAAGCTTATAGTTTGGCTTCTTCATTTTCAGCTAGTATTAAAATGAGATTGTTGCATACTAAGGAAGAAATCATCCTTCTTGGACAGTCGCAAAAAGTGTTTAAAGAGAGGGGAGCCAATTCCTCCTCACCTGGTCATAACACAGTGAAAAGATGAATAGTGGCAATGCATGATATATTTTAACAATGAGTGTCATTGTTCACCATGTCATTTACGAAGGGCTTTACTAAGTACTTACTAACCCCTCAGGCTTATCAATTGTACAATGACCAACTGGTGACTTCTTTCCTTGGGATGGAAGAATGGGTAACATGGCTACCAAAGAAGATGGTAAGCAAATCCACCCACTTTGACAGATTTCATAATCTGATACCCAAACTGCGCTGCATAATGGACTAGTCAGTTTGGCTCACTAATAGGAACAAGGTAGATCCCTCACAGGGAGCTCATAGGCTTACCATTCAACACAAAACAATTGTGAAAAACTGTACCTTGGGTGCCATGGTCCCAGCTGACTTTCTTGCCTACACTCAAATAACTAGAGTTGTGGAGAGGGTTTTAAATTAATTTAGGACAGGAACATTTTAAGCTTACAAAGCAAGAGGATAGCATTACAGGGAAACTAATTAGATCACAGCTAAAATACTGTGAACAGGTTTGGGTTCTTTATCTAATGAAAAATGTACTGGCTGTCCAAAGAAGTCTCACTAGGTTGATCCCATATGGAGGGATTGTCTTATGATGAGAGGTTGAGTTTGTTGCTCCTGTACTCATTGGAGTTTAGAAAAAAAGACAACTTTATTGAAACACACAAGATTCTTAGGAAACTTGGCAGATTAGATGTGGAAAGGCTGTCTATTCTTCTGGGAGAGTCTACGATTAGAAGGCACAATCTCAGGAAAAGGAGTCATCCTTTTAAAACAGAGACGAGGAGTTTCTTCTCTCAGAGCCTGGGGAACCGACGGAATTCTTTACCGCAGAGGGCTGCCAAGTTTGGGTCATTAAGTATATTCAAGGCTAACTAGGTTTGTTTTTTAAACTTAGTAAAGAAATCAAAAGTTATGGGAAAAAGGCAGGAAAGTGGAGTTGAGGATTATCAGTTCAGCCACGAGCTGACTGAATGCTGGAACAGACTCAGTGGGCTGAATGGCCTGCATCTACCGCTTAACCTTGTGGTTTCTACATTGTACAAGTTAAGTTTTAGGAGTCCCTTTACACATTTTGGATTTACACTCTATTTATAGCAAAGTAAAACCTGGTTGGCATCAATGCAACTAAATGTTGCCTTTGTCTGATCTCCATAAAATTAGATCTAAGAGCTGAATCAGTAAAATGTGTAACGCTGTTCATGTCAGACCAGAACACCCCAACACTTGTATGTTCATGAAAGGTGTAGTTAACACAGCTGAACTGGGATATAAGATGCTTAACGCAACAGTCTGAGTCAGCAGTCTTGCGTTCTGTTCCCTGACAGTAGAAAAGGAAGATTCACACTACTCAGCAGCAGAAGGCTCACATTTTTGTCCTTCCTGTTTCCATAAAAGGTATGTCTGGTGTAAAGAACCAAACGTTTTGAGGAATTTTACTTTCAACCAGCAAAAATAAACAATAAAATGGATCCAGTTCTACAACACATAGACTTTCAAACGTTTAGTTTAAGCCTGCTCATCCTGACACCAAAAAGTAAATGATAAAAAGATTTGGGGTCTTTTTGCAGAGTGGTCACCAGTGGTGCCTTTAAGAAGCACAGGTTTGGCTACTCACCAATTGGAGCAAATGGACAACAAGGTGACTGAACAAAGAAAGTGCTCATACTTGGCAATATGTTTTATGATTTTATGCAGATCTCGCATTGAAAGTCAGATAAAGAACTTTCATTGATTCGTGAGTAATATGATTGGAAAACAGTTGATATCTGAGAATGATTAAAGTGTCATAGTTATCAGCAAAAGAGTGATATTTCAAGTGTGATAGCTCTAGCTTGAATTCCCATCCCAGCCTCAGTGAAAATCATTAAAATGTTATAGATGGGTATTAGTGAAAGATTCAAGTTTAAAAAGGATCTATTATAATGTAACACATATTACCTGGGATCGTCGGGTTTCCACGTTGTAGAGGTAACTCAAGTGTGAGTATTTCAATGCTAAAGATGCAAAACTAAGGTATTTTGTAAAAACCTAGAAATAAAAAATTAAATAGTCAATAGATTTGTTTTTCTTTCAACTTACACAAAAATCTTAGATGGTTCTTTTCATTTACCTCTTGATCTTCTTTTGAGAATTGTAGTTCACCAATTTTGTTGATCACCATCATGACTGCTAATATCTCCTTCCCCTGCATCATAGGGGCAGCTAACATATTAACAGTTGTGTAGCCAGTCTGTTTATCAACAAATTTGGAGAAGTGGACATCCTAGGACAAAACCACAGTGACATTTCTGTTAGTCTCCAACATTTATTATAGGTCATTCTTGAAATAATACTGCGCTTGTAATTAAACATTAAGTGAATTTCATGTTCTTCATTCATTTAGAATTCCGTATGTTGGGAAAAAAACAAGACTATTTTCCTCCATTCATGGAGTTTGAGCATGGCCTTTATTTTTCTAATTTTAGGAAGAAATGCTAAAGCTGATAAATCTATATTTTTACTCGATACTTTAATAGTTGAACTGCATTCTATGAAATTTCAATAAAAGTTTGTATGCATCAGCCTGCCAGTTAAGAAAAGGGAAACGTCAGTCTGTGAAAATCTGGAAGAGATCTATTTTGCTGTCAGGAAGGGGTTAGGCATTTACAGTTAAGCTGGTAAAGTTTGTGTATCGTGGGTAAGATATTGAGAATCTTCATTAACTCTGTTGCTGATAATTGGAAAGCATCTCAAATATAAATTAAATTTCAGATTTTCTTGGACTCTGATTACACACACGAATAAGCATTTGGCACTCCTCTAGCTATGGCAGAAAATTCAAGGAAATTCAAGGCTACAGAAGCCAATTTTGGATTTACTGGCCAGTTATTGGTGAGATAATTTTCAACAACTAACATTACAAAGGAACTTATAATAAGTGCATAAAGTAAGAAAGCTCAACCTCCATGTAAGAGATCTTTGCAGATAATTGAAAGTTTTCTATTGTGATTTTAACTTTTACCAAAAGTCTAATCTATTCCATTCAATGGACCATAAATTATATACTCAGTTTAATTTTGCTCTCTATTGAAGTCAATTGAAAACAAAATCAGGCCATTGTGTATAACTTATCAATACTGTTTGTTTTACATCATTTCTGAGAATTAAAACAAAATGGTTTTGATTCTCTTTGAAAGGCACAGTTCTAACACCATTCTGGTGAATGATCAGTAAGTTAAATAATTCGGATACAGGCAATTTGATTGCATTGGTAAACTCCAGGATCAGAGACCAAATGCTTCAAGTACCAATGTGTTCCCATCAAAGATGCTACTTTGTATGTACTGACCACATGAGAAACACAAATTGCAAGTGCAAGACATGTCCTGAGAAATGCATGACTTTTTCATCCTTCTTGATCTTTCCCTCAATCAACCTCATGGGTTTATAAGGATTATGCATTGTCTTAATTTAACATAAGCGTTTGCAGGTTACTAAGTTGTAGTATCATAGAGTCAGAATTTATAGAGCCCTACAGTGCAGAAAAAGGCTCTTCAGCCTATTGAGTCTGCACCAGTCAAAGACAACCATCTAACTATTCTCATCCCATTTTCCAGTGCTTAGCACCTTGTATTCCTCAGCATCTCATATGTACATCTAAATACTTCTTAAATGTTATGAAGCCCTTACAAGCAGTGAGTTTCAGAATTCCACCCCTCTGTGTGAAAAGATTTTTTCTCATAACCTTATAAATCTTCCTACTCCTTACCTTGAATCTATGGTCCCTGATCATTCATGCCTTCACCAAGTGGAAAATTTTCCTTCTGTCTATACCCCTCATAATTTTGCACATCTCAATCACATCTCCCCTCAGTGTCCTATGCTCCAAGGAAAACAACCAGATCTACCCAATCTCTCTTCATAAGTAAAACTCACCAGCCCAGGCAACATCTTGGTATATCTCTTCTGCACCCTTTCCAGTGCATTCACATCCTTCCTATAATGTGGATTCCAATACTGACACAATATTCTAGCTGTGGCCTAAGTAATATATTATACAGTTCCAGCATCACTTCCCTGTTCTTAAATGGTATACGTCAATAACAAATGTTAAATATCCCATATGCCTTCTTAACCACTTACCTACTTGTTCCGCTACCTTAACGGCCTGACGAACACGCACACTGAGGTTCCTCTGATCCTCGGTACTTGGATCTTGTCATTCATTACGTATTTCCTTGCCTTGTTTTCCCTTCTTAGGTGTATCATTTCACACTTATCTGGTTTAAGTTCTATTTACCACTTATCAGACCATGTGACCAGCTCGTCTCTATCCTCCTATATTCCAAGGCAATCCTCATCACTATTTCCTACGCCACCAATTTTTGTATGATCCGTGAACTTACTCATTAACCCTCCTACATCTACATCATGTATATATACACCACATAAAGCAAGAGCCCCAACACTGATCCCTGCAGAATCCTACTGGACACAGGCTTGCAGTCACAAAACAGCCCTCAACCACCACCCTCTGGAGCAGATTTGCCAAAATTTTCTTGGATCCCATTGACTCTTACCTTAAGTCTCAGCCTGCTATGCAGGACCTTATCAAATGCCTTGCTGAAGTCCAAGTAGATTACTTTGAATACTTTGCCTTCATCAACACACGTGGTTACTTCAAATTCAAATCAAGTTGGTTAGACATGACCTCCCTTTAACAAAACCATGCTGGCTACTCTGCCTTTCCAGCAGCAGATTAATTCGGTCCCTGAAAATTGCTTCCAATAGTTTCCCCACCACTAAGGTTAGATTGACTGGCCTGTAGTTTCCTGGTTTATCCCTTTTTGAATAATGGTTTCCTCCAGTACGCTGGCATCTCTCCAACAAAAATCCTTTCTCAGTTGTTTTGGAAGGCATTAATCGAGTGGAATTATTCTTTTTACCACTGTACAGTATTTCAGTGCAAGCCATAGAGAATAGCTCCAAACCTTTGTGACTTCTTTTCTCCTTAATTCATTCATGGGATGAGGGCATCGTTTGCCAGGCAGCATTTATTGCCCATCCTTAATTGCCCAGAGGGCATTTCTGTGGATCTGGAGTCACATGTAGACCAGACCGGGTAAGGATGGCAGTTTCCTTCCCTAAGGGACATTAGATGGGTTTTTCCTGGCAATTGACAGTAGATTCATGGTCATCATTAGATTCCTAAATCCAGATATTTATTGGTGTGGTGAGATTCAAACCCAGGTCCCCAGAATATTATCTGGGTCTCTGGATTAACAGTCTAGCGATAATAGCACTAGGCCATCGCCTCCCCTAAATTGTTCTTAGAAAATACATAGTTAATTGGAAGACCTATACTTAATAAAAGTTGTGTGTGTGTGTGTGTGTGGGTGCATTTGTAGAGAAATATGCATGGGTAGCTGTGAATATGGGTATTATATTTTCATGGGTAGCATGTGTGCATTCATATTTGCATACATAGCAAGTGCGTAACTAGGTGGTGTAACTGCAAGTATTGCATATGTGTACGAATAGCATATATTCAGGGATATACATAAATTTGTGTATAATTGTATATGTATGGGTACTATAGGTTCATGTTCAGTGTAAACATACGTGTCCAGATAAATAATCAAACATGATATAATTACAGTATAGAACTGAAAAGGATTCTTCATGATATTTTGGTTTTAACATGAGCAAAATATCAGCTGAAGCATGCTGTGTTCTTCCAACCCCATACTGTGTTATCTGTGACTCCAGCATCTGCAGTTCTTGCTATCTCTCAGAAGAAAGTATTAGGATTTAGGATTAAAAACAGCAGCAAAACTTTACACTGATACTTATTACAACCACATAAAGTGCAACTGTAAGTAACGAAAATTAATGAATACTGTTTCTATGAATGGCATCCCATCTTTCATCCTTTTTAAATTTCAGCTGACCATGTCCTACCTACCCATCAACCCTAGTTTGGCTTCTAATCCCACAGTGCTTCAAATTTGAAATTCTCATTGTTGTGTTGAATTCCCTCAGTAGCCTCCTCATGTCTGTTATCCCCCTCACTTCTACAACCCACGAGATCTCTGTGTTGATTCACTTCTGGCCTCCCATTGCCAATTTTCAGAGAACTTTGACATCCACACCTTCAGTTATCATGGCAGTAAGCTTTGGAATTCTTTTCCTAAACCTTTCAAGCTGTCCATCCTCCTTTAAACCTTTGATCAAGCTTTTGCTTATCTGACCCATTATCTCTTTATAAGGCTCAGTGTCAAATTGTGTTTGATAATGCTCCTGTGAAGTGCCTTGTTGCTCTAATACATGAACAGTTCTATATCAATGCAAGATGTTGTTGTATTTCCAGCTACAGAGGAAACCAAAAAAAATAGACACCAGACATGTCACTTTACAAAGTCTTCCAATATGTTATAAACATTAGTGTCTGAAGGCAGTTTGCACAGGCAGAACCCATCTATGTGACCTATTCTAAAACTTTATGTATCAATGGCAGACTTCAAGTGGCTTGAAGATTATTTGTGAGTCAAATTAGAGCTCTTGCTTTTCTCCAGACAAAGCACAACAAACAGAGCGTCTTGTATTGTCAGAAAACCTCTCAGTTCTAATAGATAATAGTTATCTTTCAGGCACGTGGTAGCATTGTGGTAATGTCCCTGACCAGTAACCGAAAGCCCCGGGCTAATGTTCTAGGGACATGGATTTGACTTTCCACTGTGACCTGTGGTGAATTTTCAATTCAATAAAAATCTGGGACAAAAAGAAAACTAGCCTAATTGTGACCATAAGACCATTTTTGATTGGTGTAAAAACCCATCTGGTTCACTAATGTCCTTTAGAAAAGGAAACTGCCATCCTTACTTGGTCTGGCCTACAGGTGACTCCAGGCCCAGAGCAGAACAATGTGGTTAACTCTCAACTGCTCTCTGACATTAGGTAAGGACCATAAATGCTGGCTTAGCCAGCGCTGCCCACATCTACTCAACAAATAAAGAAAAAAAATCAGATGCATTCCTACTACAACTTTCCTACCAATTCTAAACATTTTCAACATTGTATAGCTCCAGTGGAGTGTCAAACTGGTTTTAGAGTTTAAGTAGTCTTTTGGAGCTCCTACACTTTTCAAACTTCTAACTGTTTAATGACATCAGAAAAACAGACCTATCCAATTTTTACTGTCACAACTTTAAAAGTTCCAGCTAGTAAGCAACCTTCTGCATATGCAACATTCAATGCAGCCAAGTCATAATTAGTTTATCGACAGAATCAAGGGGAACACGGTATTATGTGGTTAGCATGGCTGGCTTTTCTTCTATTTATTTATTTCTGGGATGTGGGAGTCGCTGACTGGCCAGCATTTCTTGCCCATCCCCAGTCGCTCTTGAGAAGGTGGTGGTGAGCTTCTTTCTTGAACCACTGCAGTCCACCTGCTGTGGGTTGGCCCACAATGCTATTAGGGAGGTAAGTCCAGGATTTTGATCCAACGACAGTGAAGGAACGGCAATATATTTTCAAGTCAGGGTGGTGAGTGGCTTGAAGGGGAACTTGAAGGTGGTGGTATTCCCATGTATCTGCTGCCCTCATCCTCCTGGATGGAAGTGGTTGTGGGCATGAGAGGTGCTATCTGAGGATCTTTGGTGAATTTCTGCAGTGCATCTTGTAGATAGTACACATCATTGCTACTGAGGACTGAGGTGGAAGGAGTGGATGTTTGTGGATGAAGTGCCAATCAAGCGGGCTGCTTTGTCCTGGATGGTGTCAAGCTTCTTGAGTGTTGTTTGGGCTGCACTCATCCAGGCAAGTGGGGAGTATTCCATCACGGTCCTGACTTGTGCCTTGTAGATGGTGGACAGGCTTTGAGGAGTCAGGAGGTGAGTTACTTGCTACAGTATTCCTAGCTTCTGACCTGCTCGTGTAGCTACTGTGTTTATGTGGTGGGTCCAGTTGAGTTTCTGGTCAATGATAACCCCCAGGATGTTGGTAGTGGGGTATTCAGTGATAGTAACACCATTAAATGTCAAGGGGCGATGGTTAGATTGTCTTTTATTAGTGATAGTCATAGCCTGGCATTTGTGTGGCATGAATATTACTTGCCACTTGTCAGCCTAAACCTGGATATTGTCCAGATCTTGTTGCATTTGAACATGGACTATTTCAGGATCTGAGGAGTCACAAATGGTGCTAAACATTGTGCAATCATCAACGAACATCCCCATCTCTGACCTTATGATGGAGGGAAGATCATTGATGAAGCTGCTGAAGATGGCTGGACCTAGGACACTACCCTGAGGAACTCCTGCAGAAATGTGCTGGAGCTGAGATGACTGACCTGCAACAACCACGACCATCTTTCTATGAGCCAGGTATGACTCCAACCAGTGGAGAGTTTGCCCCCTGATACCCATTGATTCCTGTTTTGTTAATTACAAGAAAGAGACTGGGAGCCACGCAACTCCCAATGCAAAGATGACACAGATGGAGGAGTAAAACAGGAGATTAATTAGTATTTTGCTTTTATATCTTGCATTCCACACCATTACACTTCTTGTAACATTCACATATTGTAAACAATGAGTCTTAGTTAACTCTTTCAAGGAAGTTTCTTGTACAGATTACTGGTTTGAATTAAGCATAGCTACTACATATTATAGAACGCATGTCAAATGTTTGACAGCAACAGACCTTTGTAACGTCAGGAACATTCTGAATCTTCTTGGTTTTTGCTGTCCATCCCACTACCCCGATATCCAAAGGGAAAACAATCTCGCCTTGGGGAAGCACAAGATTATTCTCAAAACTGGAGTCTCTGGTCACATTAAAGAGTCTTGTGGCCAGTTCTGCAATACCATTCCTTGATCTGAATATGAACAAGCTGCCTCTGTCTGCACAGACGAGAGCGACAATCCTTTGCAGTACCTTGTGCATCTGCTTCTCGACATTGGAGTCATCCTGCAGCTCCTTGACCAGCTCAAAAACAATGTCAGACTCTTCCAACTTGCACAGGTCTTTGAAGGAGACCCCATCCTCCAATCCCACCTTTGTCCCATTGAAGATTGCACCAATCGTTTCTGGCCTGAGCTTCCTGTTAAAGTATTCCTTGGTGAATTGTGGGTTGTTCTCCAAGTATTGTTCAACTGTTTCCTTGCTAACACTCCCCATGCTGGCCTTTTGTCTTCTGTTTTAGATTTGCATCACTGATGGTTGGGAGAGAAGGGGTGAAATTGGCAGTGCCCCTTTTGCCAAGTCAGATCCAGGCATTAGGCATCCCATTTGGCTTGGTAATTCTGCAGCTTGCAGTGCTCCAAGGTTGACAGCAGGCAATGGATTTAATGGATTGTGAAAATTTCCAGCCAGGTCCCATCCCTGACGTCAGCACTTTAAATCCTGACGAATGCATTAGACTGGTGAATCCCCATCTTCTTTCGAGAATGACCAATCCCGTTAGAGGCTAATTAATGTCTCCAAGGATCAAAAGGTCCACGTGAGACACCCTCAGTATATTCGTAGGCAGCTTTATGCACAGTGAAGTGGTCTTCAATGTGTGTTGGGTCTGGGGGTCTGGGAACCCCATTGCACTGCAAATGCCTGCAGTGTTCCTCTTTAAGATGTGCTCATTTCAAATACAACAATGTAAGGACAAATGGCTACATTCTGTGAGGAATCCCTTTGCCTCTGTAGTCCAGAAGACGTGTGGACACTCTCTGCAAGCAATGCAGCAGTATTTAGATTTAATTTCACTCCATAATCCATACAGCCCTAATATCAGTAAGTAAAAGGTATTTCGCTTTTTCCTTGCCAAGTCTGCTAAGCGAATTTTCAAAGTGTGGTTTTTATTCAGAAACACAACACGTGTTATTGGCTGGACGCACATTTCCTTGTATTTAATCCAACAGACCCGTGTTCAGTAGAAAGGCTGCAGGTGATTTCTGCTCCTTCAGAAAATATATCATTTTGCAATTTCAATTCATTGGGGTCAGCCCATGTAATTGAAAAGGAATAAAAATGCTGTGAATAATCAGGAAGTCAGACAGCATCTGTGGAGAGAGCACATCCACTATTTCAGTTGACTGACTTTTGGTCGAAAGTGGAAAAAGTAAGAGGTGTCAGGTTTGAAACAAGGATAGAGGCAGATGGGGACAGTATATGGGATGCAAGATTAAATGAAAAAAGAAGGTATGATGGTGCATGGCAAACAGAGATACCAAAAAGGCTGGTAAAGAAACAAACAAAACTTGAGAGGAGGTGCAAATAGCAAAACCAGAATCATCACCACCAGCTACCTCAAATGTATGGGAGTAATTGTTAAAATCTGAAATTGTTGAATTCGGTTTTGATTTCAAGAGCCTGTAAAATGCTGAATTAAATGGTGACAACACTGTTACTTGAGTTTATGTTCGGCTTCATTGGAACAGTGTAGAAGTCAAAGTCAGAGTAGGAGTGGGGCAGAGAATTAGAAAGACAGGCGACCAGAAATTCAGGGTCACAATGGCAGTCTGAATGCAGATATTCCTCGAAGCACTTAATCTGGGTTTAGTCTCCACTACTGGTCGCCTTCCATCTTATTAAAGATGTTGCCTTTGATCTTACCCCCTTATCTACCCCTGTGCTTACTGAAAATCTATTACATCTCTTCATGTTTCTTCAGTTCTAATGCAAGGCCATCAACCTAAAATGTGAACTTTGTTTTTTCTCTCTGAAGAGGTTGCTTGACCAGCTGAGAGTTTCTGTTTTTGATTTCAGTTATCTGCAGATTTTTGCTCTTGCTCTGAGAATAAATGTTGTTCAATGTTGTACTATTGCGACAGTAGAGAAGCCACACTATAAAACAGAGCAAACCTCTTGCTTCCTGTAATTCCCCATAATACGATTAGCAGTGTTGCTGTTGACAACCTGTAACCAATGATGTTCCACAGGGATCAGTGCTGGAACTGCAACAGTTTACATTACATATCAATGACTTGGAGGAAGGAAGTGAATGTACCGCAGTCAAATTTGCCAAAGACACAAAAGTAGGTGGAAAGACAGGTTGCAAGAGAGATAACAATAGTTGATAGGTTAGGTAAGTGGGCAAAAAGTTGGCAAATGGAGTTTAATGTGGGAAAATACGATGTTCATTTTGGAGGAGAGAACAAAGGAACAGTATTATTTAAATGGGAAAAGAAAGCTGCAGCACAAAGTGATTTGGTGGTACTTGTGCACCAAGCATAGAAAGCTGGCGCAGGTACAGCAGGTAATCAGGAGGGCTAATGGAAAGGAAAGTTGACGCTTATGCTCCAACCCCGTTGAAATAAGAGTAGGGAAGTCTTACTGCATCTGTACAAGGTGCTGGTGAGACCACATCTGGAGTAGTGAGAGCAGCTTTGATTCCTTTATTTTGCTTTTATTTTAAGTTAGTTATTTTTTTAAATTGGCAACTGGGCCTGGAAGGCTAGTTTCTATACTTTGTTTGTCTTTCCAGTTGTCACGATCTCCAGTAAACAAAACCAAACTGTGTTTACACTGCGCTTTTAAAATAAGGATGTCACAAGCAAAACGAGCCAAAAGTTGACACTGAATGAGGAAGGAAATATTAAGGTGCCTAAAAAGATGACTAAGCAGATGACTATGAAAGTGGCCAAATAAGTAGGTTTCAGAGTGGTGTTTTAAGGGAGATGAGAGCGTTGGAGAGATGGAGCTATTGAGGGAGAGAATTATAGATGGCTGAAGCCACAGTCACCAAAGATGGGGAAAGGGCATTAGGATTGGGGGGTGGGGATAGACAAGTAGCCAGAGCTGCTTAATCCAAAGTGCCTGGAGCGTCATAGAGTTATAGAGAATGGAAACATACACTTTAGTCCAACGTGTCCACGCTGGCCAGTCATCCCAAACTGACCTAGTCCCATTTGTCAGCACTTGGCCCATATCCCTCCAAACAGTTCTGATTCATGTACCGATCCAGATGTTTTTTTTAAGTGTTGAAATTGGACCCGCCTCCATCACTTCCTCTGGCAGCTTGTTCCATACACATACTACCCTCTGTGTGAAAAAATTACCCCCAGGTCCTTTTTAAATCTTTCCCCTCTCACCTTGAACCTGTGCCCTCTAGTATTGGACTCCCCCACTCTGGAGAAAAAGACCTTGGCTCTTCACACTATCTATGCCCCTTGTGATTTTATAAACCTCTGTAAGGTCACCCCTCAGCCTCCTACACTCCAGGGTAAAAAGCCCCCGCCTATCCAGCCTCTCCCTATAACTCAAACCCTCCAGTTCCAGCAGCATCCTTGTAAATCATTTCTACACACTCTCAAATTTAACAACATCCTTCTTATAGAAGGGCAACCAGAATTATACAGAATATTCTAACCAATGTCCTGTACAGCCACAACATAACATCCCAACTCCTTTACTCAATGCACTGACCAATGAAAGCAAGTGTGTCAAATACCTTCTTCACCACCTTATCTATCTGTGACTACACTTTCATTGAACTATGCACCTGCACCTCAAGGTCTCTTTGCTCGGTAAAGCTCCCCAGGGCCCTACCACTAACTGTATAAGTCCTGCCCTGGTTTGTCTTACCAAAATGTAACACCTCATATTTATCAAAATTAAACTCCATTTGCCACTCCTTGGCCTGTTGGCCCATCTAATCAAGGTCCTGTTGTACTCTGAGATACTCATCTTCACTGTCCATGGCATCACCTATTTTAGTTATCATCTGCAAATTTACTAACCACGCCTCCTGCATTCACATCCAAATCATTTATATAAATGACAAAATGCAGAGAATCCAGCACCGATCCTTGAGGCACATCATTGGTCACAGGCCAAGAGTCCTGAAAAACAACCCTCCACTCTTGTAAACGAAAAGGTGTAAACAGCAAAAACCAGGAGCCCTTGACCAGCCCCCATTAGACACTCCCAGGACAGAAACAGCACTGGGAGAAACACAGAGCAAAGCCACATTCTGTTCTTTCAGAACAGAAAATAAAGCTGCCTTGACTTTGTTGAACAAAAATCAAAACCCTATTACTCTGGGGAAAAACAAAAACAAATAAAAAATGGCTCTCCCTCGACATTGTCCCTACCATCCTCTTATGGGCAGCGACCACAAGGGGCCAGAATAAAAATAAACTCAAGCAAAATCAAAAGAAATCAAATAAATAAACAAACAAATAAACAACAAAATAAATAAATCCCTCTGCTCTGTCCTCATTGAACTCTCCTAGGACAAGGACAACCAATGGTTCAAAATCCAGAGGAAGTTCCACAGCTCATTTCAACTACAGATAAAAATTCCCCTCACACCAATCCTCAAATGCATTAGAGACACTGACATTCTGCTGTTAGCTCTTACAAGGGGTCCAAAATCGGAACAAAGGGAAAATAAAACAGCCTTCTTTGCAGGACACCAAACCGCAAACAAACACAAACTCAAAAGGCAAAATGGAAACTTATACTACAGAAACAACGAACTAAGTGAGAATATCATTATCCAGGTTGATAATGCACTCCAGCCCCATGGCACCCAGCAGTCTCAAAAGGTCTCAACTATGCAAGTGAGCACCATGTGCTCCCTCTCCAGGGATCCCTGAGGGTGGACATAACTGTGAAAGAGGGGCAGACAGTAAGGACCAACAAGCCTCTCTTCTGCCTGTTGCCTGGACCTGTTGATGGCCATCTTAGCTAGACCCAGGAGCAAAGCCACGTGAAGGTTTGTAGTCTTGTCCACCCCTCCCATAGATCAGGGGTGCGGGGCTGAAGAGCAAGCAAAATTTTAACTGCAGTCCATTCAAAAAAAACTAAAAAAGGGACTGTGGACGAATGCACTCAGTAGAGCGTGAAACACTGTCTGCTCCAGGCCACAGAACATGCACATGGACTAACACGCGGTAAACTTGCTCAATCACTGGTTGCATGGGACCACCGCGTGCAGCGCTCTCCACCCCAGATCCCTGAGGTAAGAGAGGAGGACCCCTTCGTAGAGGGCCCTCCACTGTGGATCTCCGCCACCAGAGGGCGAAACCTCATGCTAAGGCATGACCGGGAGGTGGGTGAAGACACGGCAGTGGAGAGTGTGCAACAATCCACCCGTACAAACAGCGCCTCCATGCTGTTTGAAAGGGCACCGGGAGGATGTCCCCAAGATGGCCCGGACTGTGGGTCTGAGGCACGAGGCCAGG